TTTGTATGTGTAAAAATAATTTAGTTGAATAAGTATATTATTATTATTATTATTATTTTTCCCCAAATGTTTAGTGTAGCTAAAAAGGGTGGCGGTTCACTCCGCTGTGGGGCCCCCAGGTTAATAAAGGAACTAAGCCAAAAAGAAATCGAATGAATGAATGATGAGCTAAAAAGGGTCTGGATGTTGGTCATATTTATTAGTTATTGACAGTTCAGTCAAAAATAACTGCAACAATTAAAAAGAGTAGCAGCCTGTTAACTGTGCACCTGATATTTTATGTTAAACATGCTCAAGAAAAACAGCAGGTTGTTGAGCATTTTGATAGTTATTGGATCTCAGAGCTCCTGTCTAAAGCGTGCATGTTAGTGAGGCTTTATCAACCCACAGCCGCCGTTTCCCCTTTATTGACCATTAAAAGTGTTTCAGACAGTCATATGCGGCTCGATCGGGATGTCAGGGAGTCCCAGAGCAGCTGCGCCCTGTCCCGCTGGGTCGCCTGACACTGGCCAGTGAAATGAGCTGTAATGTCTATTTGAATGTTTTTCTTACCTTAATTTATTTACATTTTAAAAATAGTGTAAATTAGAAGCGTAATAGTATAATAAATATTCAAATTTGCTTATTTAAAATGTTGTTTTCTTAAATTATATAAGTCAAATATAAATGAAAATGTATTTCAATGTTAAATTAAGTATTTAGTTTTAAGATTGAAATAAAAAATGCTAAAATAAATTTTTAGAATGTTTTAATTTAAATTTAAATTTTAAATGTACTTTTAAATATAAAAAATGTAATATAAACATGTTTATTTTAATATTGTTTTCACTTTCATTTAATCAGATTTTACAAATAGTGTATTTGTTTATCAGTGGTAAATTGATAATGTTTAAGTTTTTTAATTCTAAATATTATTATATTAATTGAAATTTCCTAAAGTAAATTACTTTTAGTATTTAAATGTAATATTTAAATTAAAATACATAAATAAAATTAAAGTATATTATAATTTTATAAAATTTGAAAATGAGATATTATAATTATTGTAATGTTAATGACTGAAATGTAAGTATGTATATTAGGGGTGTCAAAATGAATTGTTTCTTCGGTGCACCGTGATGCATCAAGGTATCGGTTCAGTAATCATAACCGGTTATGACTGACGTCATGCACTAGCTTACTATAGCAAGGGAGGCGAGCACGAGTAATTAAAACGCTCTAACTACTTTAAAACGCAGAAACTGCACAATTCACAGTGTTTGCTGGACAGTCGTTACTAATACTGTAGTTATAGTAGAAGCCCCTTTTTTACTGCGATTGAGAAAATAAAAGTAAACTTCATTTCTCTCTCTCTCCCTCTCTCTCTCTCTCTTTCTCTTTTGCGGTGGACCTTTGACCTGCTGTCGTAAGGTAAAGTTTCCTCTGCTCTCGGCTATTACTGCTTTTACTTGTGGATCTAGACACAAGCATGTCTGCAGAGCGAGTTTTCTCCACGTCTTCACAGATCAGCTGTGATTGCCGCCGACATTTATCAGTGTTACTCATCGCTGAACAGCACCAGAGCGGAGTCAATCACAGCCCTTTCTGTTAAGCATATGATCAATCATAGGAGTGCAAGAACTCGCTCGCCAGGGCTCATAAAGGGAGAGGGATAGTTATATTTGTTTATTTATATATATATTTGTATATACTTAAGTTTTTAAAGGTACAGTTCTGACTGTTTGTATTAAAGGACAAAATATTGTTACAAATAGTATAGAAATATAAACATATTTATAAATTTAATACTATAATTGTTGTGCTGTTAAGTAAAATATAAAAATGTGTATGAAAAGCATCGTTAATGCATCGTGATGCAGCGATCGATGGCATGATAATCGTAACCAAAACAAACCGTGAGACCAGTGTTGGTTCACACCTCTATATATTTATATATATATATATATATATATATATAAATATATATATATATACATATATATATATATATATATATATATATATATATATATATATATATATATATATATATATATTTTTTTTTTTTTTTTTTTTTACTTTTTTATTGAAACATTTAAATAAAAATTTCATAATAATGTTTTTAAAAAGTTTATTTTACACTAAATAGTAAGATATATAAAATTAATTAAAAGTTCATATTTTTATTAACATTTGAAAATGTAAGTAAATATTGTAATCTGTTCATTTGAAATGTTTAGTTTAAGCAAATAATGAATAATATAGAAATCAAAATGCTATATGGAAATAACAAATGTGTGCATACTTTGTACTTTACATTTAATATTAAAATACAAATGCTGTAAAATAATATTAAACACTTTCATTTAAATGCTAAAGAGTTCATTTGAAATCTTATCAGGTTGATTTTAAGGAATAAATTGGAATAAGCTGTACAGCAGGAAGAGCCAGTTATCCAGCACTCCTGAGATGCTCATATTACAGCAGCACATTAAAAAGACTCTCAGCTGCATGTTATACATCACACCATGTGCAAAAGTCCACTTCTTGCATGGAGCAAACACACAATAACGAGTGTGTTGCTCTGTCTTCAGCCATTAGTGCTGCTACTCTTCGTAATGGCCATCATTTGTTTTTCTTGCAGCTCTGATCCACTTTCACAGACTCTGGAGACTCAAACTGCAAGCTTTTTTCTCCGCATTGTTAAGCTTGAAATCTGACCCCGCTGTGATCAACATGATAGTGCTGTTGTTCAAGTGTTGAAAGCAAAACATGCTTGTGCAGGAATTAGTTTTGTAAATGTGAAGGAGTTAAATAATTTTATACAAGAAATAATGTGATACTGAATTTGTACCATTGTTTTAGAGACATATGTTTCTGTTCTTCTGTTTTGCCATTAAAAATAAATACAAACCAGGGTGTCCATGGGGTCTTAAATTGTCTTAAATTCAAAAACTAAAAACTTTAGGCCTTAAAAAGTCTTAAATCGACTGAAATATTGTGTTGTATCTCTTGAATCATTTTAAATGGGTCTTAATTTTCCTCTGTCCAAGTAAAGCTTCCCAATCAGGCAGACATCCATCCAATCACCAACAATCCATCTTAATAGAATCAGGAAAATAAAACTAAAAACAATTACACAATTTATCATGATAATAACAGAGCAATTTATCTCTCTACCATATCTTCCATTCATACAAAAGCTATTCACAGAAGTAATGTGTAGTAGACATAGTATTTATAAATAGGCATGAAACTTAAGGTTTTATAACAGAAACACATTGGGTTAATTAGGTTATACTCAATCAATTTTAGACCAAAAGCCAACAAATATATATATATATATATATATATATATATATATATATATATTTATTTATGTAATTGTCTCCACAATAAATAAAGAGTTTAGATGCAAAAACCCCTAAATGCCATCTGACATTTTCCTCTAAAACGAGCATTTTCATCAGGCACCTGTGTGTATGTTCAGTAATATCATTTGTATGGCTAAGAATAAGTTCATTTCTTCTTCTTTAAAGTGAAATACCTCAACATAAACAAAGGAGGTTGAGAAAAATGTTCATTTTCTATGGAAATTTCAGATGGCACTTTTTTTTCATCTAAACTCTTCAAATATACTTGTAAAAATGTTAAACTCGTAATTTTATAAAATTCTTGAACTATTATGTTAAAAATAGTGTTTACGATTAGATTTTTCTTGTTTTGACACATTAAAGTATGTTGCTAAAAAATAACTACATTAGATTTTATTTATTTATTTATTTTTTTTTTGTGGCAAGTTTAGTCCTGTATAAGTCTAAAGTTTCATTCATAATAGTCTTAAAAGGGTCTTGACTTGATGGAACCTGCAGAAACCGTAACAGGCACAAGTTGTTGTTTTTTCTCCTGCAAATACTTGATACATTGCTTTGAAGGAAAATGTGAGGCTGATATTGATAAGTGATATTGATATTTGCAACTTTCATTGCTAGTGTCTATTTGTGAAAAAACAACATTCTTTTAGTTAGATGACAGACACCGTTTTGATGTAAGTATTTAAAAAAAACTATTGCAAGTGAAAGATGCATTGGCTTCAAAAAATAAATGCATTTTTTTTTTTTACATTTTTTACATTTAAACGTTTAGAAATTTAAGTACAAAATCTTGAATTTTCTGCAAAATTCAAAAATATTAAAATATAGACCAAAAAACACTAAATAAAGGAAAAACTAAATAAAGGGCATAGCACATGCCTTAAGTTTGCTTAGTGTGTAGAACTCTTTTATATATATTATTTATTTGTCTTATTTTAGATTTGTTTTTGTTTTTTGGACAAAACACATTTTCTTAAAACTAAAGTATTGTGTGAAATGAGTCATGTCTTTATTAACAGTGCTCAGCATATCTTTTAAATTTATACTTTTAAAAGGAAGCGATACAATATTTTATTTGTGCATATACATTAGATTAGTCAGTACTGAAGCCAAATCTGGAACTTATTAAACAAAGTAACTGACAATAACAGTCCAAAAACTAGTACACCCGAATGTATGTGTTAAAAAAAATAATAATAATAAATACAAAAAAAATGGGAAAAATTAAGAGAAGCAAAAAAATAATTTAATAGAAATTTTGTAGGTTGTAATATTTTTTGCTATATCTTGCCTGAATTTATTTGTATTATCTTTTAATCTCTAAATATTTAACCACACTGAACTGAATCAAACTGAACTTCAACACTAAAAACTGGACTGACACTGTTTCAATATATTATAATCTTCTATGTGAAGCTGCTTTGACATAATCTACCTTGTAAAAGCGCTATAAAAGCAAAAATGAAAGGTGAATTTTCACCTTCTTCATGCAATAAGTGTCACTTTATCAGTTTTAGTGAGATGTGTTTTTGTATTTTGTTCTTGATGGACAGATTTGCATTTCATTTAATCATTTATTTTAAATATTAAAGCTATACACATGTTTTATCTCTACTAAGTAACCTCAATTTTCTCTTTGATTTGTAGGCTGATCAGTTAACAGAGGAGCAGATTGCAGGTGAGGGTTGATCAACTATCTCTTTAATTGGTTTCATTTGGAACTCAAAATAAACAACGCTTGTCTTATTTCTCAGAGTTCAAGGAGGCTTTTTCCTTATTCGATAAGGATGGAGATGGTACCATCACGACCAAAGAGCTGGGCACTGTCATGCGGTCGCTGGGTCAAAACCCTACAGAGGCAGAGCTGCAGGACATGATCAATGAGGTGGACGCCGACGGTGAGTGCAATTTACAGAAACACTGTTTGTTTATTTGTTTATTTAATTACAATTTAATTTTTTTTAAAAATTAAAATTTTTCATGTAAGGGTCAGGATTCAAATTATCAAATTATATAATTATATACTGTCAATTTTTTTTTCTTTTTTTTTTTTTCTTAAACTCTACTATTTTTTATGTATATATATTTTATATTAATGTTAAGCACCTTGGGTCTGAGAGTAACGCAATTTCGATTCTCTGTATGTCTTGTACATGTGGCTGAATTGACAATAAAGCTGACTTTGACTTTGACTTTGACTTTGACTATATAATTGATGGATATTATCCTATTACTCAATGTACATTTTTGATATGTTTTGCACTAAAACATTTAATAAAAATCTGAAAAAATAACTAAACTCAAGGTTGAAAATGAAAACTAAGAACTGCCCAATGTGAAGCAAAGTGCTTTTAAAATCCAGTTTATTATCCTGCTTATACCGTTGTAAAGTCTAGTTTTGCTTTTTGCAGTACATTATTTGACCGAAATTCCACCAGTTATGGCATGTTAGATCCTAGTCCCCACATTTAATCAACAGTCAGAGGCAGACATAGAAAGAGAGAGAGCGGGTGAGCGAGAGATTGCATGTGTCCATGTAAACGACACAGGCATATCTAATAGCTCGTATAACATGTAACGACCACTTTGCAAAAATTTTTAAGCATATATGTGTGTGGGTAATCCTCATATGCTCTTTGGCACATGTACTCAAGACAGAGGAATGAAGACTGTGCAGTGTTTCCTCTAGGATTTTTTCCAGCTGTGGTGGCAGGTCTTTTACACAAATCTACCAACTACCTATGGCGTTATTTCAATGACAAATGGAGAAATGTGTTGAGCGCATTATTACACATCAGATCGCATTTATGTAAGGTTAATACGAGCATGCCAATCTCTGCTTGCGTGCCGATTTCCTGTGCTCGTGCACAAAACTTCTTGCACGCCCTCAAGCGCTTTCGCTGGTGGGCTCTCAAATAAACACTGCTGAAGTACACTGCATTTACGTAGCGCTATTTAGGTAGTGAGTATGTCTCCAACATTTATTAGATTTGCTAGGAATATTTATGAATGTCTCCAATAGCGTCCTGAAGTAAAGTGAAATGGCAGTAAACTCCAGCGAGATAACGTTAAAGTCTTTGTATGCAGAATCACAGACCTTCATCTATAAATAAAGTTTAATTATGGAGTGTTCATCTTAACTGAAAGCTACGTCATGTTTGCTGGCCTCACGCATCGTGCACCTATCAGTAAGTCAGTGTCTTTCAGCACGTCACCTTAAAGTGTTAAAAAAATAGCGCACAGCCCTACTACGTTAACAGAAATGTTTGCGCTGTTATAATTCAGGCCCCGTTTACACTAGTGCGTTTTAGTTTTAAAACGGCGTTTTAGAATGAAAACGATTCGCGTCCACACTAGCATTTTACCCAGCGTTTCTGAACTGCTCTCCGTCCACACCAAAACGCTGAAAACGCACATCACGTGACCACACAGACACTTTTGGGCAAGCGCTGCAGCATTTCTACCCAGATGAGAGCTGTGCTGGTCGGACTGCTCATCAAGCATCTCCCGCTGGATCTAATATCACTGTATTTATTAAACGTCATATTTAATTAATCTTGTTGTATATATCTAACGACATATTCCCCGACTTTAGTCTTTTGAATAGATTACTTGTCCACAGGTAACGTGTTTTGGCTGAGCACAAAAATAAGTTAATAATTAATGTAACCACGTACATTCTGTATATTGACTGATCGCTTGTGCGTTATACTTTCATAATGGCTATTATTGATTAATAAAACTGACATATAGCAAAGCAGAGGATACGTTGATACGTTTCTTGAGGCAGTGATGTTATACAGGCTCCGTTTAATTATAAATATGCATGTAGTGAAGATGCAGCACGACAACCCAGCATTTCTGCTGTCTGTTAAGTTGTTAATATAAAAAATGAAAATAGGCAGTTCCTTAAATCATGTTTTCATTTTATTGTTGAGAAAGTGAAACAACGTAGCCAGGATGATGTGAATAAGGTTATAAAGTACACTGTTCCCTTTGTAGATTTACCAGACATGTCCTCGAGGGTCTGTTTTCCATATCAAACTTGCGAAGTCTGAACTTAAAGGGAGAGGATGCGAGACTGAACTGTGTGTGTAGACTACTTAATATTGAGGAAAAGCCCCAATCAGCTCCGCCTCCGTTTTCAGATGTCTCCATCTTTTTCTCTGCCTCTCCAGCGTTTTCAAAACGGCGCTTGAAAACACCAGCGTAGTGTGGACGGATGGCGTAACCATAGCAAAACTTAAACGCATTCGTGTAAATGGGGCCTCACTTACCCTTTAAATCATTTGGTGCGATTATAACCACTATTAAAAACAACAACAACAACAATGAATGAATGAATGTTTTGAATTAATAAGAAGCTGTAATGTAGCCGTGGTGGGATGAATTTTGGTGTGGTCCCCCGCCATGGAAGAATGAATGTAGCGGAAACCATGCTGTGTCAAATGTCACTGTTAAAGAGACGCGCATTTATTTTAATAACTGTGATCAAACCTGACATTAAACTTTTTTGCACACCTCACAACCAATCAGAATTAAGTATTAGCAGGATAAAATGGAACAACTACCACTAGTGAAGTGTGCTATAATACTATTGAAAATCATGATAATTATATTCTTGTCTAATCTCAGATATTAAGACAATGATCTGTTTTGTAAAAGAATATTGGTGTCTAATATGCAGCAAAGTCCAGAGACTGAAGTAATCAGCATGATTTTGTAAAATCATGACTTTAAGTGAGTAGTAAGAAACTCTAATGGCTGAAGCAGTGTTGTTATGCCAGAATGTTGAGTCAAACTAAAAGTTTGTTCAGGAAGTCTTATTTATAGCTTACTTATAATTGGGTCAGCGACATGTTTAGTTTTTAAGCTGGATATGTTTATTTATTTAAAGATACTTAAAGTTTATTCAGAGAAGCTATATAAAAGTGATTTAGGAAGCAGCATCAAGTCAAAAATAGGAGGGTGATGTAGTTGTGTGAACAATCTTCTTTTGGTGTTTGATTCTGGAACTAAATCCAGACTAACAATTTTGTTGATCAAAGAGCTGTGGAGCAATTGTTGATTGATAGAATGAAAAAAAAAATTGCCAAGTAATGTACTGGGGTGTGTTTCCATAAAACATCGTTAGCTAAGTTTGCAAGTTCCGTAGTTACAAACATAGTTTGTTGATTTGGCGTTTCCCAAATCCGTTGTTCCTACAAACATTCTCAAACTGCGTCACAAACTTGTACACTTGCCACTACACCTCTAGAGCTGTAGTTAGAAGCATAGTTTCTGTTCATTCATTCATTCATTTTATTGTCGGCTTAGTCTCTTTATTAATCCGGGGTCACCACCGCGGAATGAACCGACAACTTATCCAGCAAGTTTTTATGCAGCGGATGCCCTTCCAGCCGCAACCCATCTCTTGGAAACATTCACACACACACTCATACACTACGGACAATTTATCCTACCCAATTCACCTGTATCGCATGTCTTTGGACTGCGAGGGAAACCGGAGCACCCGGAGGAAACCCACGGGAAGGCAGGGAGAACATACAAACTCCACAAAGAAACGCCAACTGAGCCGAGGTTCGAACCAGCTACCCAGCGACCTTCTTGCTGTGAGGCGACAGCACTGCCTACTGCGCCTCACCTAGTTTCTGTTCTATTCGTCCTATTCTTTTAGAACATTTAAACTTGGAATGATTAAAAAAAACATTAAAGTTATCTCTCTAAGGTTTAATTTGCTTTCAAAGTATTTTCACAGTTCAGTTTTAGAGATCTTCATATTGACATTTGCGTTCCCTTCATAGTGCACTTTGAAAACATTTATGCCATTTTGAACACAGCCGTGGCTCATGACTAAAGGTATAGGTGACCTATTATTTAAAAGCGGAATTTAATTATTTTGAATGTTTCATAATATAAGCAGACTTTTCAAAAAATGTAAATAAACGAAATAAAAAATATCCTAATTACTACTCAATTAATATGGAAAGTGAGGGCATGTTTAATGTGTGTGCATGTAAAGCAATAATTTGCTATAATTTAAAAAAAAATATAGGCTTTTTCTATAAAGAAGTTGTTACTCCACCCCATGTAGAGTGTCATTATGAACGTTTTACATTATAACTAACATGGTTAAAATGATGGATCTGCGATAGAGGAACTCAATTTGGGAAAAACTCGTCACTACATCGTTCTTTTCCCAAACGATGCATCATACTATGGTAGTTTAGCTTCAAGTAATGTCATTGTTTGGAAAACACACCCCTGGTTGGTAAATGATTGACTCTAAAAACCTATAAACCTATTTACCAACGAATTAAGAATTCTTTTACTACAGGGCTGTTGAATGTCTGATTCTGATTGGCTGATTTATACACTGATAATACACAGGACAACTTTTTGAGCAATGTTGTTGCCAGGCAATAATTCAGAGTAATGTTGCTTGGCTACTTTGCTATTGAGAATAGGCAACAAAATTGTTCCTGGATCTGGTTGCCTTTTGTCTCACTTGGTTGACCATTGATGGCATCAGGTGCCAGGAAACAGTGCTCAAAAGGCAGTTTTTTTACTGAATTATAATTTAGTATAACTACACTAAATGTTATCAGTTAACCTACATCAGTCAGATATCAAAACAAAACCGAGATGCATAAGAAACTAGTGCTAAACCAGTTGCTGATAAGGTGTTTGACATAAAAATAGATGAATGGAAACATAGCTACTGTCTGCTGGGACATAAAATACAAATCTGAACAGTGTCTTTAGGTGTGGATTAACTGTAGTATAATGTGATAATTGACTCCGTTCTGTTGAATTATCAGAAAAAAGAGCACATCCCAGGTCATTAGTCAATGGATTTACAGCATTTTAATTTATTTTATTATTTGATACTTTTAAA